TTTTGGACCATATTTTAACAACGGAAATCAAAACCCATTTTATATTGAACTTGCCCAGGCCGAAAATTACTACGGCGAACGTCTGCGCAACCAGGCCTCCTTTACCGTTGGATTTACAGGGGGGGAGCATATATTTCCGGTAACAGCCAGCCAATCGCGGCCGCGATAGCAACTGTTTACATTATTTGAAATTTGATATTCAAAATAAAAACTCCTTCGATCGGATACCGTATAAAACTCGAGATGTTGTCGAAGAAAAGAAAACTAAACGACGGAGATTGAAGAAATTTAAGGAAGAATAAATATACAGCGGCTCTTTGTTGGAAAGCATGGTAGAATATGATACTTTAATTCGAAATATTATCGTGAATATATTAGTGGCATCCTCCCCCCCTGTAAATCCAACGGTAAAGGAGGCCTGGTTGCGCAGACGTTCGCCGTAGTAATTTTCGGCCTGGGCAAGTTCAATATAAAATGGGTTTTGATTTCCATTGTTAAAATATGGTCCAAAACTTGTACATCTCGCCGAAGTACCTCCGTATTTTCGAAGAACGGCATCTGTTGTACATGCTGGCGAATTATTTTGGAGAATAAAGCAATTTTTTTTTTACAACAATATTTGTATTTCATGACAAAAACTCTATAGCGTAAATGAGCTTAAAATTTAAAAAACCTACTTAAATGGTTTCAGCAGCATATCCTGTTGCCTGTTATGTATTTTTCTTCTTTTTTACATTCTTTATTTTAACACAAAGCCACGAAAACAGTAGTTTAAATAGTATAAATTTGTGCCGCAGTAGTATAGGGAATGAGGGTTCTAGACCACTTTTTCGGCCCGCGATCTCACCCAACTTCCGGTCAGCGGTTTCCATATTTTTCCCTCAAAATCGCGGGCTCATATTTTTCTAGACCATTTTCCCATTATTTTTTCTATTATTTTTTCTATTATTTTTGGCATTATTTTTTCTATTATTTTTCTATTATTTTTCAGCATTATTATTTACAAGAATTATTATCATATGCTAGGGCTCATATTTTTCTAGACCATCTTCGAAGAACCCTCCAATCTTCTGTCTTCAAATCAACTTCCCGTCCAATCTCAAACCTTCTAGTTAACACTTTACTCAAAATCCAATTGCAATCAACTTGTCGCTTCCAGGGATTCTGATTGCCTGAACACCCAACGACTTCGCTTTCTCGCCCACCACCATTCTCAAGTATTTTTTTTCATCTTCTGGTAACACATCATAGTTTTTCCTTAGATGATTCTCATCAGTTACAACTATCCGCAATGGTACTAGTTTCTTAAACTTAGACCTCTTTAGTGGAATCACTACTTTATATTCTGCTCTAGGAATATGTTTCTCTTCCCGTGGTTCTAAGTCTTCCCAGCAAGCGCCTTCATAGAGTTCTACTGCTTCCTCGAGTCTACAGTATTCACTCTAAGTTTCGACCCTTTTTGGTACCCAGCTTGGTTCCACTTTTTCTTCAATTACCACCTCAGCCTTCATGTCACCTATTGAGTGATGTCCGTACGCGTAACTTGTAACACCATCTTCAAATAAGTATCTTTTGTCATCGAAACAGCTCAGTGTAATTTTCTTCAGTTGGTAAGTTCCAATCTTATGTTTGATGGACCTGATTGTATTCATCTTATGTCTCATCCGACCTTTAGTCTTAATCACGTTCTTGAAGTTTTCGTGAGTGAGTTTATTTCGAATCACATACTTTTTTACACCTTTAGCTGTCATTCCACCTCCGCCACTCTCCTTTACATAAGAGTACATCTTCGACCTTAGCCCCACGAATTCTATCACCGGTACTCCTTCAGCTTTATCCTTGAACTTCCCAATAACCTTCTTATTATGGGCTGAGTAATACGGAGAATCTTTTGGATAATCTGAATTATCCCAACAGTCCTTCTCCTTACCGATCCTCTTGAAGTCCTCATACAAGTCATCAGTTTTGATCTCGTACATGAGACTATCCGTGTCTGTGAAAAGGAGCTTCGACTTGTTACCGTACTCCTTTTTAATTGTGTTGTAATGGAAGTCGTACATTAGAGTCTTGGATAGGTCTAAGATACTCATTCCCACATAACACGGTTTATTCAGAGTTAACACTTCCTTTAACCTTTTTACTACAATCAAGCTCTCATTCATAATTCTATGTGACTGGAAGCACGGTGATGCTGTAAGTTTTAGGAGATCGTTCTCAGATGACACCAGTTTCACATCAACCCTTTTCCTTAAGTTCTCCATAGTATTTCCATATATGGAATTATTCATGAGCTTGAAGAAGTTTTTCTCAAACGCATTTTTGGCGACTGATCGTTTTTGAGTATTAAAGTCAATATACTTTTTTAACCAAGTTGACTGCTTGAAGGAGACTGCTCTGTGAACCTTTGTAAGTTTCATTCCGAGCTCCATATAGAGTTTTAGATTCCTGACATGTAGAACGTAATTCTTCCTGGGACCCAAGGAGTTCACCAGTTTCCGCACACCTCCAATTGTCAGCTGGAATTTATCAGCAATATCCTTAGCATAGTCTGATAACATTGACACATCAATTTCCTTACTTTCTGGAGCTAGAGGATAACCATTATGTATGTCATGAAGTTCTGCTGGATATTCCATATCAACTTCAAGAACCATACCCCTTCCACAGTCTCCTAAGTAGTCATCAATATTTATTTCGTCAACGTTTTCGATCCACTCAAATTCACCGTTAGGCAGCGGTTGAGACATCGCCCAGCCATATAAATTGTTGGCGTCTAGGTACATCAAGAACTTGTTTTCAGCTTCTTCGTCATAAGTTTCCATGTACTTATTATTTGCCGTAGAGTGTCTGTGAGCAATATGACTTACCCCACCGCGCATTCCTTTCTTAAAGAACCGGAACATATCCATATCGCTTACCAATTCTATTTCTTCTCCTGACTGCTTTAAGAATGCGTCCCAACTTAGACTTGGTGCTGAGATGTAATGGGCAGGGTCAAGCTTGTAATTTTCCAAGCAGGTCTTCCTGAAATTCTCAAAAACATCCGCTAGAAGAAGAACGTCAGTCTCCAGGTAGAGATCGTGGTAATCTCTCATTGTTTTCATCTTGAAGTGATCCCAGACTTTTAGAGCTCTCTGGTAATCTTCTTCTTTCACTTCAGATTCATATAGAGATGAGTAGAACTTGTCTCTGCTTGGAAGTTCCTTGGTGTCGAGTTTGCTGATATCATCCAGGTATTCATATGGAAATATTCCTTTCTGTCTTACGAGATCGAAGTCCTCTCCTTGCCACCGCTGACCGACTATCTTGAAGTCTTCAGGTGAAAGATTACTCACAAGTGCTTCCAGAGATGAGGCCATGAACTGTATTGAATCAATGAACACTAGACTTTTACCTAACGAGAATGAAATGTACTTTTCGATGTTATTTGGAATCACGTTAATATTCATCTTGAACTTACCAATCTCCTGCATTATCAGATGGCTATCGTATCCTCTTAGATTATGGAAAACCACCGGAACTTTCCATGTAATTCTGTATTTCAAGTTGTACATATTATGAGCAGCTCCACGGAACAGTCCAGTTACATGGTCGTGGTCTCTCACTCTGTCATCCCCCAAGTCGTTGCCGCAGATGGAGCAGTTCCTTGTCATCCAAAACTCAGTCTCTTGTTCTGGTGTAATTACCATCTTCTTCTTAAAGATTTTGTTCACCATTTCCCGGCACTTGATGGATTCCTTTAGAACTGTCTTTAAGAAGACCTCTGTAGCGTCTGCACCAACATAGCTCACATATTCACCAGAATACTGATCATCATAATGACACACTGTTTTTAACCCGAAACTACAAGCCTTATGTGTCTGGTAAAGTTCTGTAGTACTTTTTTCCTCACCGTCTCCAGATTCAGCTTTTCTCTCCTCAGGAACCAGCATAGACTCAAAGTCAGCATAGATCACAAAGGGTGCAGGCATTGAATTCCTATAGTGCCCGAACTTTATTTTTGAACCTTCATTTGGAAGCTTTGTGGCCTGAGTCCCATTTACACTGATACACGTTTCACTATGTTTCTTTAATGATTCTTCGCTAACGCAACTATGTAGGCAATATAAAAAGAAGTGTTTCTTGTTCGAGTTTCCGCTAACACTGAAGAGCATTCTATTTACATCCTTTATTAGGACGTAGTGATTACCACCGTTATTATCACCTAGCAGCAGCAGCTCCATATGTTCGTCGTATTTGGTCTTAGAGTTCCTGATTGGGTAGAACTGCTTTTTGCCCTTATAACCGAACACTGAAATACTTATAGAATTCTTTCTCTCAATTTTATCAATATCGCTTATCTTTACTGGGAAGTCTATACCTTCATAATCTAGGTTCTTAGCGAACTCCCTATCTTGCTTTGTTATAGTTGTTGCTCTCCTAGCTTTTGGTCTTACGTGTCTCAGATGACTCCACATAAAACATTTCTCATCATTGTTTTGCATGTTAATTAGACCACATTTCGGATTGCAAATGTCTGCAGGTAATTTCATATATGAACTACCCTTCACTGGCTTGTACATCGCGATATTAATGTAGTGACTTTCAATGTTTAGTATAATCCAATTTGAACCTAAGTTCTGAAAGGTTTCAATTTTAGACAAGATGGTAAGTTGATTCTGAGCGGCAGTGCTCTCAATGTCCTCAAAGTTTGTAGCAGTTCCTGTTTTTGATTTGAAGTATATTGAATCCTTTTTAGTTTTATCGTTTCCGATTTCCTTAGACATCCTTATTTTGATTGTTTCCGTGTATTTAAGACCTCCCATTCTCTTCATTTCATTTACCAACACTCCTCTCACCACCTGCCTACTTGCTGTCATTTGGTTTAGTGGATCCATATAATTTGGAGTTATTGAGTAAGTCACAGCTGCTCCATTTGCGGCTGTTTCTATTTTCCTATAAGACGGCTTCTCAAGATATGTTCCAAATGGATCAATTTCGTGCTGCTCAGGTGCTACCACTACAGGCTGCTCCGCAACTTCCTTCATTACCTTTACAGGCTTTCTTAACTTTGGAGCAGGCACTAGCTTTTTGGCTCTGGGTTTAGGGACTGGTCTTTCTCTTGGAAGTTTGGTTCTAGGTTTAGGAACCGGTTTTTCCTTAGGGAATACGGTCCTAGGCTTAGGAGTAGGTTTCCATGAAGCTACACCCTTTGGTACCTCAGGAGCTTTCCTTGTTGGTTTTCTACTGAGATCCACAGTCACCGTGAACTTATTTGGTCCAACCTGAGTTATAACGCTATCCGCGGGAACCGAGAGTTTTATTCGGTTTTGACTTATGAACCTCTCCGCGACAGTCTGTCTTTTAACCTTAGGTTTTGGTGTTTCAGCTACCTTAGCCTTTGGTGGTCTACCTCTTCGTTTGGGGACCTTAACTTCCAGTGTTTCAGCTACCTTAACCTTTGGCGGTCTTCCACGTCTTTTAGTCACAACTTCAGCGTCTGACTTAACCTTTTGTGGTCGTCCTCGGGGAGCCTTAACAGCGCCGTCAGCCTTAGCCTTTGGTGGCCTGCCTGTAGGACGCTTGGGATTCCTAAGGTTCTCTAACCTCTTCATCTCCGCATTTACCTGAGGATCATCCGTTCTCCATCTACCTCCCATTGTTGGTGGTAGACCTTCAACTCCTCTACTAAGTAAGCTCTGATATGCCTCCTCAACTAGTAAAGCCTTTGCCTTCTGTCTCTCGGAATATTTCCATGTCGGCATTATTCCCCTCTTACCCTTCTCATTCAGTGGTCGTCTTCTCGGTCTCTTTGGGTCAGTAGAACGGTCACCTTCATCTATGAATTGATTTTTTCCTTCAAAGGGATCTTTGCCCTTATCCTTAGGTGCAACTCGATAGAATTTGTCCTCAGATATTCTCTCAACTTCATCCTCGAAATCACTTATGTCGCTATCATCAACTATCTCACTAAGTGCCATAAGTTGTTCAACGGTCATGTTGTTCATGTCAAAGTGTGTCGCCATTTTTCACTCTTTCTCTATATACTATAGGTAAAACAAAATAGGCCTATTTTAAGGCCTATTTAATTTTGTATTTAATTTAATTATTTATTTTTATTTAATTTAATATTTAATTTAATATTTTATTTAATATTTTATTTAATTTAATATTTTAATATTTTATTTAATTTTATAATTAATATTTTATTTAATCCAATAATTAATATTTTATTTATGTCTGAATTTCCAGTTATTATAATATTTACAATTTATGGGTTCCCATCCCAACTCAGGGAAAACCTTTCCATATAGTCTGTCCTCAAGGATGTTCACAATTCTTTGAGTCTTGATGTCCTCAGGTGGGTTTCTCAACATGATGCTGTTCATGCTGGCTAACCTTAATAGGTAAAACTTATATCTAACTATGTTGCGCCCCCGTTGCAGTCTAAGTCTTTGTATACATCTTACGATGCTTCTAAACTGCTCCCTTATGGTATCCCTATCCCCAGAAGCAACA